GGTTGGACATATGTGGTCTCACAGAGCATCACCATCAGACAAGGACATCCCAAGACCACACTGAAGAGAGACAAAATAACACCACACTGCCTCTTCACACAGATCCTCCCAAGATCCCCTTCCAGAGCCCAAGTCCTGGGCATGTCCTGTCTCACCTGGCCCCTCGAAGCTGCCCACATCCCCAGGTGTGTATTCCCCCTTACAGCCTCAGTGACCCTCCCAGCTGCAGGACAGGTTGCACGCGAGTGCTCAACAGCCAGTGGCTGCCACCTTGGGTGTGCAGACATGGAAAAATCCCCGGTCCAGAATGTTCTATTGGACAGAACTGCTCTTCGTGTTTTCTGGTCTCCAGTCACAGCACTAGACCCATGAAAAATGAAAGGGACAACATCATCTCTCTGACAGACGACACCAGATTTCTGTCTGGGACATGAATTCATATTTAGCTGGTGTATAACAAACAAAACTAGGTTACCTGTGGATCCAGTGCCTTCGGGCACAGAGTGTTCCCAGTTCCAAAGGGGAAACACCTGTCCCCCTACCTCCCTTCCCAGACCAAAGACACTCTCTGAAATCTCATTTCCAGCTGGTGAGCTTTCTTCTAGAAGAACCCAGGGGCAATGCTTCCAGCAGAGTGTGGGGATGCAGGAATCCCACTCAGGGAGAGGGATTCTAGGAAGTGAGGAGGGTGCAAAGGATTGGGCCAGCGGGGAGACTCCCCCTGGTTTATGCAGAACAACCATTCTCAAAGTGTGGCCTGTGGAAACATTAAAGTTTCTAAGTGTCTTTCATGGATCTATGAGGTCAAATCTATTTTTGCAGGATTAAGGACATCCTTTGCCTTTTCACTGTGCCCACATTTGCACTGAGGTAGGCTTAGCAAGAATGGAGACTGGGACACCTAACTGCATTAGCAGGCTTTCTTCACCACCACCTCCTCACAGACTAGTAAACAAAACCAGTGTCACTTTAACAACATGGTTGAAGGATTAAAAATTATTATTGTTGCCCTGGCTGGTGTAGCTCAGTGAATTGAATGCCAGCCTGTGAACCAAAGGGTTGCTGGTTTGATTCCTGTTCAGTGTACATGTCTGGGTTGTAGGCTAGGTCCCCAGTAGGGGATGCACATGAGGCAACCCCACACTGGTGTTTCTCTCCATCTTGTTCTCCTTCCCTTCCCTTCTCTCTAAAAGTAAATACAATCTTTAAGGAAAAAATTAAGAAAATTATTATATTATTAAATCATCATCTTAAATCAACATTTTAAAATAATCTAGGCTTCTGTTCAAGATGGCTGTGTAGGTATATGCCCTGCAACCAAATCAAAATCACAACTACACTACAAATGACCACTGTTCAGAACTGCCTGAAATCTAGCTGAACAAAAGCCCTACAACCAGCTAATTAAAGAAGTAACATCAAGACTGGTAGGAGGGGTGGAGATGCAGAACAGGCTAGTCCCACACTCACATGTGGCAAATAAAAATCAAAAGGAATATGTCAGCTGTGGAGGTCCCCCCTGAGGAGCAAGGAATCCTAGCCCAACACGAGGCTCCTCAGCCCAGGGTTTCAATGCCAGGAAGACAGGTCTCTACAACTTCCTGCTGTAAAAAATAGTGGTGATTGTGGCTGAAAGAAAGGGAGGCTTTTGAAGTTTCAGGCAGTTCCTCTTAAAGGCACACATCCATGGATGGTGTGGCTCAGTGGATTGAGGGCCTGCCTGTGAACCAAAGGGTCCCCAGATCAATTCCCACCCAGAGTACATGCCTGGATTGCAGGCCAAGTCCCCAGTAGGAGTGTGTGAGAGGCATCCACACACTGATGTTTCTCTCCCTCTCTTTGTCCCTCCCTTCTTCTCTGTCTATAAATAAATAATTAAATCTTTTTATAAAAATGGCACACATGCACATGAACTTACTCTGATTTCAAATGCTGGGACATTAGCTCAGAAGGCACCAGGAACACATGAGGAAGCAACTGAGTTGTCTTGCATCACACTGAGAGCTGAGGGACAGCTTTCGTCCAAATAGAAATACTGACAGAGGCCTCTGTTCCCTTTCTGAGCCCTCCCCCACTCAGAGCTGGCAGGTGGGCACATTGAGTTTCCATATACCTGGTTCTCACTCTTTTCCCTGCCCTGGTGATACCCTGAAACCCCACCATGCCCAACTTGCAGGCCCCCCATGACACTTTCCAGTGATATTTCCATACAAACAGCCTTTTTTGGCTCATGATGTAAATTTTCCTAAAATGTCTCAAACAAGGAGCTTCTGATCTAGGCATGCCATGTATCTCCAGCGAAGTGGCCCCAGGTCGGGTGTTAATGGCAGCTGGCCTTGGTTTGCAGCTTAGCCTCTCCCAGGCACCTGCAAGCCCAGCACAGGAAGCAGCCATCTGCAGATTGTTTTGTAGCTCATGCTGGGTGGCCCTAGACTGGGCATAGGAGGCAGCTGACTGACTGTGGCCTGCACCTCCCAAGAGGATCCTGAGCCAGCACCACTGATGGAGTGCTTCAGATCACAAAAAAGCATCACTCAACCACCTCCACAGCAACACACTCAAGGGGCAGACTCAGCATGCACAAGAGCCTCCACAGTGGTTGCAGCCAGTCCTCACTGCTGATCAGCCTGGGGATAAATCCCTTCCATTGCCAACAGCAGTCATGACACAGCTACAACAGGACGGTGCACACAGCCCACAAGGGGGGCACACAGGAGTGCCTGGGTTGAGTGACCAGGGAGACTGCACCATTGGGTCTTCTGGGACACCCACTATGTCCAGAAGACACAGCAGCTCTACCTAACACAGAAACAAGCACAGGAAGGCCACCTGCATGAGGAAACAAAGAATCATGTCCAAATGAAAGAACAGAACACAAGTCCAAGAAAAGAACTAAACAAAATGGAGACAAGCAACCTACCAGATACAGAGTTCAAAACATTGCTTATAAGGATGCTCCAAGAACTTAGGGCAAGAGTAAATAAAGTTGGTGTGAACTTCAACAAATAGATAAGATAAAATGGATATGTAAAACATAAATAAAACATTATCAATGAAAAAATTACTGAAATGAAGAATACACTACATGGAATCAACAGTAGAGTAGTTGAAGCATAGGATCAAATAAGAGATTGGGAAGATAAGGAAGCAGAAAACACCCACCCAGAATAGCAAAAAGAAAAATATGAGGATAGTAAAAGTAGCCTCATGAAGAACTTCAACTACACCAATATCACCTCATGGGGGTGCCCAAAACAGAAGAGATAAAGCAAAGAATTGAAACCATATTTGGGGGGGGGCCTGGGATGGGAATAAAAGGCATAAAGCTGTACTTGAATAATTTAAATAGATAGATAGATAGATAGATAAAATAAAGAATAATTTGAAAACTTTCCTAACCTGGTGAAAGAAGTAGACATACAACTCCAGAAAGTGCAGCATCCCAAACAAGATGAACCCAAAAAGGCCACACCAAGAAACGTCATAATTAAAACATCAATGATTAAAGACAAAGAAAGAATTTTAAAAGCACCAAAATAAAAGTAATTAGTTGCCTACAAGGGAGCTGCCACAAGACTGTGTCAGCAGAAACTGATATCTCAACAGAAACTTTTCAGGTCAGGAGAGATTGGAAAAGCTTTCATTTTTTCCCCACAGATTTTATTCATTTGTTTTTAGAGAAAAGAGGAGGGAGGGAGAAAGAGAAGGAGAGCAATATCAATCGGTTGCTTCTCCCACACACCGCACTGGGGACTCAGCCTGCAACCCAGGCATGTGCCCTGACTGGGAATTGAACTGGTGACTTTTCAATTCACAGGTTGGCACTCCATCCACTGAGCCACACCAGACAGGACAGAAAGGCTTTCATTTTTAATTGAAGGACAGATAAAGAGCTTCCCAAACATGAAAAAACTAAAGGAATTTATCACCACTAAACAGTATTACAAGAAATGTTAAAGGGTCTTCTTTAAGAAGAAGAAGAAAAAATTTTAAATGAATAATAATATGGCTGTAATTTTATATCTATCAAACATTATTTTAAATGAAAATAAATTAACGGTTCTGATCTGAAGACATCTGGTGGCTGAGTGAATAACAAAACAACCTAGCACAATTTACAATAGCCAAGTGTTGGAAGCAACCTAGATGCCCATCCGTAAATGAATGGATCAAAAAACTACAGTACATTTACACAATGGAATTCTATGCAGCAGAAAGGAAGAAGGAGCTCCTACACTTTGCAACAGCGTGGATGGAGATGGAAAGCATTATGCTACGCGAAATAAGTCAGGCAATGAAAGACAAATACCGTATGATCTCACCTTTGACAGGAACCTAAACAACAAAATAAAGAAACAAGCAAAATATAGTCAAAGACACTGAAATAGAGGACAGGCTGACAGTGTCCAGAGGGGAGAGAAGAGGGACTTTCAGGGGAAAAGGGGAAGGGTTTACAGGAACGAATATGAAGGACGCATGGATAAAATGTAGGGGCAGGTGGAAATGGGAGGGAGGAGGGGAGGGCTGGGTGGGCGGGTTGGGATGAGAGTAAAAGATAGAAAATTGTACTGCAACAACAGTTAAACTAATATATATATAAATAAAACTTCCAAATCTTTTGATAAAAAAACAACCTTTATATGTGCTGTCTACATGAGACTTAATTCAGAATGAAAGACAAACTGACTGTAAGGGATGGAAAAAAATATTTCGTGAAAATATCCTTTCAGGAAAATACCTTTGAGTCCTATGTGCGGGGTCTCAAAGGGAGACAGCGGGACAGAGTTCTCCGTGCAGGAGGAGGTGTTGGCTCTAAGTCAGGGGTCCCCAAACCTGGCTCTCAGGGTCTCACCCGAGGACTGCGTCTGGGGCGGGGACTCTCTGTATTGGGGAGTCCCCTTCTCCCTCTCACGGGTCCTTCTGCTTGGATACTAATAACGCTCCCCCAATTCTCGCTCCCATTGGGTAACCGAACTCCAGACAAGCCAATCAGCGTCACCATGGTTTCGGGTCTAAAATCCTCACCTAGTACTCGAATTCCTTCTGCACATTATCTGAGGGTCTGGGTCATGGGGCCCCAAACACTGGTCCTGCTGTTCTCGGGGGCTCTGGCGCTGACCGAGACCTGGGCCGCTGAGTGCCCCCTGGGGAAGAAACGGCATGCACCTGAGAGGATCGAGGGGACGCGCTGGGGGCGCAAGACTCAGGGACAGCGCGTCTCCAGCACCCAGGGCCCAGACCCCAGACCCAGGACTCCTGCCTCGGCCCCACCCCTGCCCCTTTCCTCCCCCGCTCCTCTCCTCAACCTTTCGCAGTCCCCCTCGCCCCCTGCCCCTATCAGCTCGACCTCGGACCCAGGACGCTCGTCCTTCCCGCCGCGGTGGCCCCACTCCCTGAGGATTTTCAGCATCATGGTCTCCCGACCCGGCCGCGGGAAGTACCGGTACACGGTCATGGGCTACGTGGACGACACGGAGGTCGTGCGGTACGACACCGACACCGCGAATCCAAAGCTGGAGCCGCAGGTGCCGTGGCTGGAGCAGCCGCGGGTGGAGCAGGAGGATCCGCACTTCTGGGACGAGCAGACGCGGGACATCAAGGACAACGAACAGGCTTTCCGAGCGAACCTGAACAAGCTGCGCGCCTACTTCAACCAGAGCGAGGAGGGTGAGCCACGCGTGCCCGAGTCCAGGCACACCCCCTCCCCCAAGGACCGCCCGGGGTCGCTCCCAGTCTCTGGTCCCAGCGACATCTCCAGGCTGCTGCCACTCGCCTTGCACCCAACTCGGGAAAAGTCCGCGGGGATATTGACAGGGTCTTATTTTCATGGTTTACGTTTAATTCACCCAAGCCCGTCGCGAATGGTCGGGTCGGGGGCACACCTGTCCTTGGGGCGGGAATAAATGGAGGGAGTTGACTTCGGGGCTGGGTCAGGGGCGCACACCCACCAGGAAATGACCGGCTGCATCCTGGGGCCCGACGGGGGACTCGTCCGCGGGTATGGCCACCTCGCCTACGACGGCAAAGACTACCTCGCTCTAAACCTGGACCTGCGCTCCTGGACCACTGCTGACACCGAGGTGCAGATCACCACCGATAGCAATTTGATGCAGAACTTTGATGTGGACTATTGGAGGCTCTGCATGGACGGCCTTTGCGAGCGCTGGCTCCACCTGCTCCTGGTGATCGGGAAGCAGACGCTGCTCCGAGCAGGTACCAGGGCAGGGCCTCTGCGAGGAGGGGATCTGTGAGCTGGGTCAGCTTCCTACAAGGAGAGGAGGCAAATGGGGAAGGGTCAGAATGTCTCTCCTTCTCAGGAGAGGAAAGAGTCCCCCAGATTTCTTTATACTGTGACTCACCCGTGGGCCCAGCTTTCTCTAAAGGACAATAAGGGACCCAGCCTCTCCCTGAAACACCCACAGTGGTTACCTCACACCCTGCAGCACCTGGTGCACCAGGACACTCTCCCTTGTCGCTCCAGACCTGATTCTGGCTATTTTGTGTCATTCAGCCTCCACCTGAGTCTGTGTCTCCCCTTAGAGATCTAGACTATCCTACCCCAGGTTCTTGCACTGATTCTGGAACTTCCAAGAAATAGATTATCCAAGGTGTCTCTGTCCAGGCTGGTGACTGGGTGTTGCTCTCCCTTCCCCCACCCCCACTGTCCTGTCCACTCTCAGGGTGGTCACATGAGCACTGCTGGAGTGTACCATGACCATGCAAACTTCCTGAATTTTCTCACCCTCCCCTCAGACCCTCCAAAGACATATGTGACCCACCACCCTATCTCTGATCATGAGGTCACCCTGAGGTGCTGGGCCCTGGGCTTCTACCCTGCGGACATCACCCTGACCTGGCAGCGTGAAGAGGAGGACCTGACCCAGGACATGGAGCTTGTGGACACCAGGCCTGCGGGGGATGGAACCTTCCAGAAGTGGGCAGCTGTGGTTGTGCCCCTTGGAGAGGAGCAGAGATACACATGCCGTGTGCAACACCAGGCGCTGCCTGAGCCCTTGACCCTGAGATGGGGTGAGGAGGGGACATGGGCACAGAGCCTCTCCTCAGGGTGTCCCTGAGCAGGGTCAGGACTCAAGCCTGAGGCTGACCTCTCACCTTCCCCCTGCAGAAACCCCTCCTCAGACCACCATCACCATTGTGGTCATTGCTGCTGCCCTAGGTCTCCTTGGAGCTGTAGCCGCTGGAGCTGTGCTGTGGAGGAGGAAGCGCTCAGGTAGGCAAGGGGTGGGGCTGAGTTTCCTGTCCCCCTGGGGGTCAAGCCCAGGTGGAACTGTGCCCTGCCTCATTAATGGGCATCGTGTCCCCACTTGGGTGCTTGTCCATCTGGGGCCTATTTGCTAACACTGACTCTTTAGTGAGGCCCATGGGAAAGTGAGGGACACATTTATCACCTGATGATTCTAGTGATGGGGACTGATTCCCAGCTGTCATAGGTCAGAGATGAAGGTCCCTGTTGAGGACAGACATCCCCGTCCATGGTTTATCCAGTCCCCACACATGTACTTTCCCTGTATTTCCTCATCCTACCCTTGGAGTTCAATCACAGTCCTGGAACCTTCCCTGTGCTTTAGGAGCGTGGGGCTCCTTTAGGGTCACAGGACCCAACCTTCCCCCTAACTTCTCACAAAACATTTTCTTCCCACAGGCAGAGGCAGGGAGAGCTATGCTCAGGCTGCCTGTAAGTCTGGGTGTTGGGAGGTGACATCTGGGTCCCTTGGGAGAGTGTGGGCTAGAGTCTGTGAGGGGGAATCCTCCACCCCATAACTCTGTTTGTTCTTCCTCAAGCAGCGACAGCTCCCAGGGCTCTGATGTGTCTCTCACAGCTCCCAAAGGTGAGACCCTGAGGGCAGGAAGTGGGGGGCATTGCCATTGAGGGGCACAGCTGGGTTTTGGGAATTCTCAGAGTGGGACATTCTGAGCATGCAGTGAACTGTGGGGGAATGTGACACTTCCGAGACTGACCTGAATTTGTTCATGATAACTTTCTTTCCAGGGTGACAGAGCTGCCTTGTAGGGGACTTGGTACTACAATATGAATTCAAGCTTCTCCTTTGGGATTTTAAGAATTCCTCTCTGTTGTTTCTGCAAGTGTATCACAATTTGTTTGCATTATTTTAAAATTAGCCATATATATGTAATCAGAATTGTTTTAAATTAAAGGCTCCAAGGTGTATTATTTCTGGTAGGTGTTATTCTATCTTCACCTTTCACCCCATTTGTTAAGCCATTCTAAGTAACTTGAAGTTCATACACTTACCATGAGGTGTGGAGACAACCCGGGAGGGACAGACTGTGTGCCATGGGACAAGGGGACCTCATGGTTCCCCACTGATGTTCCCTCTGACTACCTGTGCTCCATGGGCAATTAAGGGTTTCTTCCCACACATCCAAATGTACCTTTTGGAACCTCTGGCTCTGGTTGGTTCAGTCCTTTTGTTCTACTCGAGTGCTACTTTGCTGCCTAGGAGTTGCCCCAATCTTCCAGGACCCCCTGTTTAAGAACTCAGAGGTGTCCATGTGGGGGGTTCAGAGAGCTGACCAATCAGAAGGTGAGAACACCTACCTAAAGCAGGAACTGTTCCAGCATCCACTGTCCTTAATCAACTGTAGACACTGCTCTCATTCTGCAGATGCTGAGTCCTGGAAGGTCATGGCCAAGGAGCCAATGTCCTTAGTGGCTTCCTCTGAGAGTTCCTCCCCAAGAAAGAGCCGTCGGGCCACAGAGTCAGTGTGGCTGCTGGGCTGAGGACAGAATCAGGAGACAAGGGACCAGTGAGGCAGGAGGGAAAGGTGTGGGGAAGCTCCCAGGGTTCCAGGCTGCAGGTGCTGGGTGTTCTGATGGGGCTGTGAGTGGTGGAAACAGTGGGAAGGGACTGGACCCTGAGTCCATTTGGAAGATGCATTTCACAGCATTTCCTAAGGATTCAATCTAGAGTGTGAGAAAGGAGTTAAGGTGGGCACCCCACATTTGCACTGTGTCAGCAGAAAGATGGGGTTGCATCAGCAGAGAGGGGGCTGACTCTGGCAGGAGCATGTGTGGGGAGGGGCAGACATTTCAAGCTTTCAGAGGATGAGAAGGTCAAGGTGAGATGTGTTTTAGAAACACCAGTGAGGTGTCAGGTTGGACAGATGAGTGTGGGGACCTTGAGGAGAAATGTCTGGGCTGGACACAGATGTGGAGGTGATGCTACAAAAATGACATTTAAAGTCATGAGCATGGATGAGGCCACCAAGGGAGCCAGGACTGTGGAAGAGGACAGAACAAGGACTGGACTCTACACCCACCTGCTGCTAAAATAGTCATTGCAGCCTCATTGCACAGTGGGGACATTCATCCTGGTGACTCCCCAGCCTGGTGACAGCCATGTTTCCCCATCACAGACTCACCATTTGGTCTTTATCATTCATAAGTAATTTATGGGGAGATACTCTGAGATTGTCCTGCTGCACTCATCACCACTTCTACACTCACCCTCTTTAGCCCCTCTATTAACATCCACCCAAGTCAGTGAAAATATGATGGTTGTCCTGTATCAGGCCTGGACATTTATGAGTAGGGTGTGAAGTACAGCTTAGAGAACATAGTCAATAATGTTGTTGCAATTACATATGGTGTGAGATGTGTACTAGATTTATCAGGGAGATTAATTAACAAGCTATGTAAGTATTTAATCACTGTGCTTTATAGATGGAACTAATAAATACTATCTTTCAAATGTTTTGAAAAATAAAAAAATATTTAAAGTTTAAAAGGTGCTAACTTGGACATCATGCCCAATATCCTGACAGCATTTTGGGGGAGAAATTTGAATATTTTGTAAGAAGCCCACAAGCCAGATTCTGAACCACACAATTCAATGATGAGCTAGGGCCCACATTGGGGAAAGGACTTAAATCCCCACGTATCTGTTTTTCCAGATGACTGGGGATGCAAAGGTAGTTCATATACCGTCATATGAGGGTGAAAGCCTACGTGCTGTTTTCCCTATCGTGGGGTGAAGTCAAGAGGAAGATGAACAAAGTGGCTCTCAGTTCAACATCATGAAAATCTCAGAATGCTCGCTCTCTGCAATGATACCCCTTAGTGGTTTCTGGAGCAAATAGTGGAACCCAACATTTTGTAATTTAAACATATAAAAATAATTTATATGCAGATTATTGGGGGCTCATTTCATTTCAGGAAAAGCCACTTAACAGACCTGAAGCCATGAGCAGGGACAGCTGTGGGACTAGAACCCACAGCGAGACCATCCCCGGGTCACTCGGGATGAGCAGTGAGGTTCCCTTAGGTCTCTGAGTGTGTAAGGCTGCCACACAGGCCTCCCCTGAGCTTACCAGGTTACTATGTGGCCCCTTTCCTTCCACACGCCCCTTTTTTGGTCATAAACCAATCAAAGCACGCACTGCTGGCCAACACTTTGGGTGGGTAGGAGGCCCCATGGTGCTGGGAAAGCTCACTCCTGGGCCATCTCAGAGTCAGGTCTGTCTGGCTGAACAGGGCGGACCCCTGAGAACGGGCCCAGACCCTAACCCAGGACGGCATTGAAGTTCCAACTGTTATTATTCAGAGAAGACAGGGGAATGGGGGCAGTCAGAGCCTTCACATTCTTGTTTGTGAATGTTCTGGATCTTTTCCAGTTTTTCAGCTGCTGTGACCTGAGTCTTTTCGCTCCTTGTTATAAGTTGTGTTTTTTTGCCTCTAGTGTAACATTTACACATCAGGGACAGGAGTAACTGTACTAAACCCGCAACACCAATTAGGAAGAGAAAACATCTAATACTAGACAAGGGAGCGTCTGAGGGCAACTGGTGGCCCAGCCACCAAAACCCTGTGCATGTATCATCAGAAGTTTAATTAACCTAATAACATCTTCCTCCCTCATCCACTGTCCTTTTGACCTTGTGTGTTATCTCTGGTCAGATGAACTACAACGTTCTACTATTTCATTATCCAGAAGCTCTAATTTTAATTCTGGCCACTTAATTTCCATAGAAATGACCTCATGGAAGGATTAAGTTCAATTTCCCAGCATATTTTATTTATTTTTAAAATATGTTATTGATTATGCTATTACAGTTGTCCCAATTTCCCCCCTTTCCTACACCTCCTAACCTTCTATCATCTCCCCTTAGTTCATTTCCATGACATGAACATACAAGTTCTTACAAGTACATACAAGTTCTTTGAATTCTCTGTTTCCTATACCATGTTTGACCTCCCCCGGTCTATTTTATGCCTACCAATTATACTTCTTCTTTTCTATACCTCCCCCTCTCATTTCTCCCCTCTCCCTCCCCACTGAAAACCCTCTATGTGATCTCCATTTCTCCGATTCTGTTCCTGTTCCAGTTGTTTGCTTAGATTTTGTTTTTGTTGTTTTTCTTTTTTTCAGGTTCATTTGTTGATAGTTGTGAGTTTATTGTCATTTAACTGTTGATAATTTTTTATCTTTTTCAATTTCTTAGGTAAGTCCCTTTAACATTCCTTATAATAACAGCTTGGTGATGATGAACTCCTTTAACTTGACCTTATCTGGAAAGCACTTTATTTGCCCTTCCATTCTAAATGTGAGCTTTGCTGTATAGAGTAACTTTGGATGTAGGTCCTTGCCTTTCATGACTTGAAATACTTCTTCCCTAAGTCTTGCTGGGACACAGGCAAAGGCCTAAAGACGGGATCCTCACCCACACAGACATGGCCAATGTCATGATTCTTCCCTCTCTGGGATTCCCCACAGATGTCAGCTTTGGTTGAGAGGATCCTTCCACCTCCCAACCCCACCCAGTCTTGGGTGTGTGTCTGTTATGTACAGAGAGTGTCACATTGTGACCACCTGAGTCCTGAGCACCTATAAGTTCTTCACAGAACCCTGGGAGAGTGGAAAGGAGGATATCAGAGGAGGAGCCCCAAGCTCCTCCATCCTTCCTGTTGCATCTGCTGAATGTTCAGCTGGATGTTCAGTTTCTTTCTCTGTTCCCTTATTTCAAGATTTTATTTATTTATTTTTATAGGGAAGGGAAGGGAAGGAGAAAGAGAGGGGGAAGGAGAAAGAGAGGGAGAAGGAAAGAAACATTAATATGTGGTTGACTCTTGCACTCCCCCAACCAGGAACCTGACTTGGCCCCAAACCCTGGGATGTGTCCCCACCAGAAACGGAACTGGAGACCCTTTGGTTCACAAGTCCTTGCCCAATCTGTTGAGCTACACCAGCCAGGACCAGTTTCTTAATGAATATCTCTGCACTTGTGAAAGTCACTGCTCCACTGAACAGGCAAAAAGATACCAACAGCAAAGGGAAGTGTTTAGTTTCACCCTCAAAACCAGTGCAGGCATTGCCATCTTGTGGTCATGTCCTGATGTCATGTTCACTGTCCTCACCATCTGGCCCAGGGTCTCCATGGTGCTTCACCTGCACAGACACCTCCAGAGGCTGTAGCACATTCACACCCCCACAGCCACCACCAATGCCCTCCAGAGATCAGAGACACCCACACCGTGCTGATGCTGGAGCTCAATTCCATTTTTACTTCCTTACATCACTTGCTTTGTAGATTCTGGTCTGTGGCTGATGCAGATGTTTCAGGTCTTGGTTTCCTGTTCACCTAGCATCAGCCCCTCCCTGCTGCTCCTCAGGGACTAGAACTCCTGAGTCTGCTCTTGACGTGGCGAGACCACAGTTGAGAAGGTCAATATATAGAAGACAGCTTCAATAGTAACCATGACTACTCTGTTCAGGAATTATGTCTTCAGTACCATTTACTATGTAAAATCTGTGCTGACCTTAGAAGCTCAATTTGAAATTGGAGATTTCCTAGAAGATTTTGAAGCCAATCCAGAATATAATGAGCCTGATAAAGATCCACAAAACTGTAGAAGAAATATGTCTCCCCATTGACCAGTGCAACTGTTGAAAGGAATTACCCTTTTTTCAGGAATATGGAATATTTTCCATATATTTACCTCAGTGTGAATGTGGATGACACTTGACTTACATTGGCACATAATCCAGTAGTGGTCTAGATTCATATTACTCTTTTGTGGGTGAAGATTTTATTTCATGGATAAAGAGAAAGACTTTGGGAAATGAAAAATTGAGTTAATCATTGTTTTGTATCCTTTCCCTTGATATGTCTGCAATGTGCTGTCATGTTACAG